CATTCAAGTTTGAAATTATAGGTTAATTATTGCCTCACAATTAGTCACGTCAATTTTTGACAATCTCTATGTTGTTTCCATGTGATTTCTCTCCGAATATTTTTTTCTGGATTACTCAAACAAGAATTCAAAATTTTAGTAGCAACTCCTCCATTTAACCATTGATGTGATTGATCACCAAATACACCCATGTTCAATTTATGGAAAGAATTTATCCGGACCCTAACCGTTCCTTAGATAGTGAATTATCACGTCGTCGCTGGCACTCATCAGCATACTCTAAATTCCGCACAACTTTTTAACCAAATCCCTATGTTGCCTATCAGGCACGCACACTCATCAACTGAAATAGCAAGCGAATGCGGTCACATTTAGGCCACAGAATCTCTGATCAAGATTTGGCAGGTTATTTGCCTGTATTGCATCTAAAATAACGGTTGATGAGTGAATTTTTTCTCACCAAGCCGTCGTAGAAGCAAAAGCGATACAATTCTTAACGTTATGAAGTAAACATGAACGAAAAATGGATTATTCTATAGAATGGCACTTAAGAAAGAAAACAATTCGAAACGAATAAAGGTAAACGAAAAGGCAACAATAAGGCTTACGTTCCTATCCGCTGAGAACAGGTTGTCCAAGCACGTTGTTCTAATCTACGGTACATACACTTTTTTTGGTGCAAACGAATAAGTCTAAAAAATACGTTAATCCCAACCATAACATCCATGAATCAAGCGGGGTGTGAATCGTATGTGCTATATACCAACTGATAACCGTTGCACTAAAACGGGCAAATCGAGAATTATATCGATTTATCACTGGCGAAAGTTTTTATCAATTAGGCGATGAGGGATCTGACAATGGCGAGATACACATGGACGCATCTAACCCACAACACCTGATACAGAATCACTGCAATGATTCCTCGAGGCTTGTTCGTCTCAAATCCACTCCCCGAGCTGCTAAGGAAGTTTTCGTTGCCTAATTCACATTGGGAGTTCAAGTGTAAGAATGACCAGACAGAAGATTACCGGATACGCATAACTGACGAGCGACAAGGACCGTGAAACTGGTCGTATACTTCTGGGAAATTTTGTCCAGTCTTCCATATACCACTCACTAGAAATACACATGGATTACTTAACAGTATTTCCCTTGGTGATTTTAATTCCGAAAGATGATATAATCCCTCCGTTTCTTTTCGACCGACTACATCACAACATTAATCACTACCCCATCATTAATTTGGCTTCCAGAGAACAACTAACCGGCATCTCACAGTCTCTGTCAGAATTTGCACTAGCTTTAACATTTCGAACGATAATCCATTCTATAGAAAACAACAACAACAACAACAACAGACTTATTCCTGCATCATAGCAGCTGACAAAAATCCTTGCGAATAGTGATACAAAGATTAATTTTGGCTTACACTGAATAAAATAAGGGAAACTGAAGTGGTAAAACACCTCAAAAACAATCTTTACTATGATCACAAAATGGAAGGGCAAATCCGAAAATCATGATGTTGTACAATAAAAGCATTAGCGACTCAGGCCTTGGCTAGCCAGAGGCCCCGACTACGAACACCAAAGAAAATTAAATGTTTCGGTTTGGGAAACCTGGCAATATCGCGTCAAAGAGCAAAACATGGATTGCTTCCATTGTCATAATAAACCAACAGTTACCGTAAACCAAATGGGACGAAAAGAATAAACGTGACGAAAAGCAATGCCTTCTATGTCCATAGAATATGATAAAAAAACTGGAACTTAACAAGTTGACTCGAAAGTATTATGAATCATTACCTCTTGTAGAAGTTGTGCCGTTCGACGACATAGCAGACTGAATGCATCCAGAGCGAAGCGAGCAGCGTGATCATGATGGACGGAACGCAGAGTTTCAGAGCCACTCAGACGAGATATGGGTTGAATTTTAGACCGGTCTAGTTCCACTTCAATACCGGAATGGAGAGGACGATCCAATTGATCCAAGACTCCTCCAGTTTTGGTGCCCAGATTTTTATCCTTTGTAGATGATATTGAGCCGACGTGCGTAGTCAGAGACATAGCTCGGTCCACGTTGTACATGTTTACCAAACACAACTGGCATAATCGTTCAGCTGACAAAGGACAAGGTTTTTGTGCCAGAAGACCGGAAAGCGCTTGAAGAGCAACAGAAGCAACTTCCGGAAACGTCTCCATACTGCAGAATAAGAGAATAATATGAGGCAAACGTCATAGGTCGCCTAGTAAAAAGTGAACACAGGGATCAGCATAGGTTAGAAATAGCACTTACCCTATTTTCGTGTACAGCTTTCCATGTGCATGGATAAAAGTTAAGCCGAACTGACGGCTAAGCTATAAATAAAAAGAGACGAAATAGTTTAGAATTCATTAGTTTGTTCTAAACTGATCGCTTTTAATGCATTCTATGATAGAACGGCTTGACAATGATGTCACAACGGGTTACTATTGATGCAAAATCACGACCGTTTCGCGACGAACACCACTGAGTGACTCGGAGACTATGCCGTATCTCCTGAAGATAAACAGTCCAATTCACGGAAGCAATCACGAGCGCAAGATTGTGAATATTACTTTGTAACCGAACTACTAAAACGGGTATTAGTAGTAACAAATGGTCCATCGAATAACAATGAATAGGATACAATAGAGCATCGTACAGACAAACATAGGACAGCACAGATACAATCGTGAGGAAGGTTCCTAAACCCTGGGTTGATCTTCGTTACTAATGTATGGCTTGTGCAACACAGAGTTTTACGAATCACGCCGGTGAGTTTTGAATTGTGGGTAACTGGACTGTCTCTCCATTGGTGTTTTTGATTATTTTGATTCATAATGCACAGGGATAAGTCCATGCCCAGCATTTGCGACTGCTAATAAGACTCACGCACACAATAATAGTGATGACGTTCGGGCTATGTATCACATTTAGTTTAATTAAAGTATGATGTGGCTTTTGAAAATCCAGGGGTGGAACATGTTGGTCTGAATCTAATTGAGTTCTGCATCCACGGGACATATACCCGAAATGGTCAGTTGTTGCACCGATTTACATGTGCGTGACCAATGGAATTTAAAAGTAAACGACTTCAATGCTTAATGTGACTGAGTCCGATTAGAAACGGTTATCATCGTTAGAAGAGAAGTAATAAATAAACAAGGTCTATTGAATCGATCTCACTTTCCGGTGGCTATAGAAAACAGACGTAAATCATTAATGGGAACTGAGAACAACTCGCGTAATACTGAACAAATCACAAGGTGTCAGTGCAAAACCAAGTAAACAAACGTGCCTCGATCAATGACATATTTGCGTATTCCTCTTGCTCTGCTTGAGCTTCTTCATCATCTTCGTCATTGTCACCGACACGATCCCAATCGCTCAGAGATACCTGGGATCGCGGTCCACCCTTCTGTGCACCACAAGAGGTGGTTGCGGGTAAGTAAACCAGACGTCTGGCACCTTGCAATACCGTAGTCTGTCCATCCACCGGATGAATCCAGATTTCCACTCGCTGGAACCGGGGGTCCGTCGAGTGAAAACTCGTGTGGTGCGAATGAGTTGCTTCAGCCTTTGGTCTTCGGAGCTGAGACCGAGAATTACAAGAAATAAGGGATAGCTCGGTAGAGAAATGTGATTTCAAAATATTCAGTCACCAACCGAGTGTTGAAAAACCACGAGGTCGCAACTGCGATGGTCATTCTACGATTCACATAACACAGACACTGAACAATCCGTAGCAATAAAATGAAATAATGCATATCGACTAGTTGCTTTTTCTAATGAAATAAAAAATAAACTCAACAGAATGACATGAAAGAATAGTCATGGAGAACGGAAACCGCTATTTACAAGCAATTAACTGAAAAGATTGGCTTCATACACATCCTTGACAGTCGATGGTGAGACGGAGTGAAGTGTGCAAAGCTCACTCAAGCTTAAGCGAGAACATTTTGCCTGCGAAGGGGTGTGATAGCAAACAAAACATATAACAGTCCCACCTTTTGATACATGACCTGACGAATTTATCCCCGAGGGTCACAACAACCTATCCATTCCAGAACACAAAAACTAGAGGGTAAACAAATAGACTGGAAGCGTTTCGCATTCTGCTAAGTGATCGTCACGAAGACAAAAAAAGTTTGAGGAAGGCAAGAAAAATAGTAAAAGTGAGAACACTGCTGAATTTAACGGGAGGTTTGTTATAGAAGGACCAATTCAAGGGCTTTTATGGTTCGTCAAAAGCCCGAACTGATCATCATTCGTTCTTCGGTCAACAACAAATATCTCCTCAAATGCGAGACACATTTCCCACCAGCAAAAAAAAGTAGCTTTGCTACACTGCCCTGTTGACTTTTCGATCATTGTTCGTCCGTGTACACTGCATACAGAAGACATTCACAGTGTCCATAATATAAAAGCCCTTGTGTGACTTGTTAGGTGATTGAACAAGCGAACTGAATCCCCAAAGATAGCCCAGTAACTACTAAAGTTCACACCGCTCCATTCTCTTCATGACCAAAGTAATGCTGATGTTGTTTCATGTGTTTTGATGTTTGATCTACATAGTACCCAAACGCACTTGTATTGGTAAACCATAGTAGATGAGATCAATAGACGTAATTTATCTGTTTTGACGTCAGGTTAGTGGTGGCGTCGGAGCAGAACATCTAATCCCGGCGGCACGGAAGGTTGCCTTCACTTTGATACTCGGAACTCTGTTGTTTTGTGATGCTTTCACATAGGATTATGGTGACTTGAGGATGAAATCACCGAAAACATACGGTCGCCCAGAACTGGTGATCTAATGGATATTCGGTGAAAATTAAAAATAAAGCTTCAAGGAATTATGGTCGGTTACTCTACCGACGACAGCAATGTTAAAAAACACTACTCACAGGTAATTAACGGTTTAAGAGTCATTTTCTTAACAGTTATCAACTGGTGAAATACTGTTATTGTGAACAACTGAGGGCAAAATGACGTTTTTGGTGTATGTATCCAAAGGGCAAATATTGGACCACGGAAAAAGTGGACATACTTGGCGCATGAGATTTTCTGCCTTTGGTCGTATTTCATTGAATAAGGCCGCTAGACTTTGAGAAGCGGTCGGGAATGGATTACTTGCCGCTAATGTTCGCATATAGTAGCACATGGCATCAAGGTGACGGGACT